TCGGGGCGTGTTGGACAATTTTTGGTGTCGGACACAGGTACGACACGTTTTTAGAAGTGTCGTTGCTACATAGGTTTTTACTTTTTGTGATTAATCTTTTGCTCATATGATAAACATTGGGTGCCACATCAATTATAGTGGTGTTGAGTGGATGAAGGTGGGTCATAGGGGAATGTACCCTATTTAGTCGATTATTTTCCAATTAGTTTAGAAGTGCGGTTCAACCGAACTTAAGGATGGCCTAGGAGTCTAGCTAATGTGATTCAACTTTATCATCATGGCATTGTAGAAATGTTTATGACGTTTTGATGAGGCCATCTATGCTCTTAGAAAGTAATTTGATGAAATTTTGATGTCCTTCAAATTTTAAATGAACTTAAATTAAAATTAAACTAAATAGTTCGACCAACTTAATAAAAAGATTATAAATAATCTAAAGTCCATAAAATCCATCTTTGTCTGCTATAGAGACACTATATAACATCACCTCGCACCTTTGGATTAGATGACTGCCTTGTTGTGTTTGGGCTACTATTAGTTGAGATTATGTCACCTTAATGTTATTGTCCTAACAAGAACCATTTAAGTGGAATGCAAAGTAAGAGCCATTCAAAGCTAAAATGAACTAGACTTGTGTCCTCAGGAGGCCGAGTTACGAAGTGGCCTATAACGTGTAAAAATAGTTGAAGTATCACCGAATAATGGCTGCTGAATTTTTACCTTCAAGATAAGCTTGATTATAGAAAGTAAGTTTTCTTTTCAACATAGTTTTATTGCTTCAAAATAATGAAAATATCTTTAATTAAGAGCCTTCCAAGATACGAAAAGCAGTGTATATGGTAAGGCATTGTCTGCATGATCATATGCCTTCCTTTGATACCTTGGAGGCGGCTAACCGTGGGCTTCCAATAGCTAAGGGCACCAATTTCTCTTTGGCTCGTATAGTTTGCTATGCATCCATCATTGCTAGAGAGCATTTACTGCAAGAAAAAAAAAAAAAAAGCCTGGGAAGTCCCCTGCCAGTCCTTCCATTATGAAGGTTTATGTTCCTTGAGGTGCTCGATGAGCTGGGGGATTTCTTGTTTTCTGTACGACAAACAGTTTCAGTACTGGGACACTGAGTTCCAACCCATTCTCTCCATCAAAAATATCACGAGCCCTAAATGCTTGAAAGGAGGGGAGCTATAATGGAGGGTGATAACATCGATGTCATCAACATTCTGAGATGGAACATGGAGGAAAGAATTTGGCAGACCTGATCTAAGGACGGTCTTTATTTTGCCTGCCTTGCTTGGTCCTGGCTGTTGCTTTTTCATAATGAGGGAACACAACAGAGCTGCTGACTTTTGTGCATGGATGACATTATAGGACAATTATTTTGAATAATGTACATGAAAATCATGCTCTTTTTTATCTTGTTAGGGATGATAGATCATATTTTGTACAATAATTGTTGCTTACTTGTACTTATGACCTTTTGGTATAGAATATAAAATGCAAGTTTTAAGGAAGCAAAGTTAACATAGCATAAGACGAGTATGGTAGCTGGGAAAATGAATGAGCAGATCCAAATAGAAGTCAGCAAGATGCTTGGAGTTAGATTTATAATATCTTGAATGAGCCTCCAGTGTGGTGATATAAAAAGGAAAACAAGAAATGACGTTTTTGAAAAGGAAGTGGATTAACTAATTGATATGCCGAGTCTTCTGCTCCACTTAAATCTGAGCCAATCCTGATCTTTTCGTGTCTGAATGCTACCATCTTTCTATTCTTACATGGGTGGCTTTTTTTTTTGCTTCGATTTAACCGCATACTGAATCTAACTACCTTTTTTCAACTCAATAAGTAGTGAAGAAGCCTTTTGTTCTACTGTTTGTTTTGACAAAAAAAGCAAAGCAGGGACCTAGGCTCTGTTTGGCGCAGCTGTAACTTTCAAACTTTTCAGCTGCAGCTGTGCTGCCTCAGGAAGCTGTTATGGGCAGCGCAGCCGCGGGGAGGCTGTTGTAGAGAAGCTGACTGGTTGTTTGTTGCAGCTGCATGAAAATAGCTGTGGGGTAACTGATTTTGAAAAAAATGATAATGCTGCCCCTATTTAGTTAAACTGTTTGGAACAGAATAATGACAACCTTATATATATGATAAAACAGAAGCAGACATTCACTTTACAAACTAAAAATATAAAAAATAAACTTTTACAATTTTTAGTCAATCCCAGAAGCCATAAATTTGATACTTTCAAGGAAAACAAACAAAGAAGAAAAAAACAAAACAATGAAGAGCCTGAAGCAATGATAAGCACCTCGATGGAAACACATAAACCTCGTCATTCCCATGGAATTTACAATCAAGCACCCGTTCAGACTGAATGAACCTATGCAAACGAACAATCTCAATAAGGAAATTAGGTATGACTAAAACATTCATGTGAATCACCATAAGATCCTTGGGTTAGAGGAAACTCTCTTATGGACATTACGAGAACTCAATTTTATGAAGGCTTGCTGCTGCTCTCATCTCAAATCTTTTAATATCACATCAAAATTAGCACTATTATTACTTATTAAAAGTGAAATACACTAATCGATGCATAGGTTAAAGCACCAAATGCTATGTATGTAATATGAAAATTTAGGGATGATATATGTAAATCCATAAGAATTGTGTGCTACAAATGTAAATTTTCCAAATGATTCATACCTGCTTTCTATTCTAGAACAAAGGCCTGATAACTTCAAAAACAGAAAAAAAATTATCTATGATATTAACTACAAAGAAGAATGGTCAATAAGAAAATACAGATAGTAGTGCCTGATGTACATACATGGCAACAAAACTTTTGATAAATCGAAAATGCAGGTTAACCAAAAACAAGTCAGATTAGATCAAAGAATCAACGTTTAAATTACCTAAAACTTATATTTCACCTGCTCCATGAAGGAAAAAAATCAAGCACCAGCATGCTAACAATGTATCTGATCCCGTGCACAGATAAATTTCAGAAAATGCTAATTGAAATTTAGTAGTTAAAGTGGAAGCAAAAAAAGGAAAAAGTTGAAGAGGTTTAAGCCATGTGCAAAATGCCAGAAACCATCTGCAGAAACAATTTTTGCACATATGCCTACCTTTTTCTCTTCAGGTAATGCTAACGATTGTTCATGCGTTTGTTAGGGATGTCTCTGCCTTTAAGCACATTGAATGTTTTGACATTTTTCACAAATTTCTTAAGAAAATGATAAATACATTTTTTCCACATAATACTCAAATGCTATTAATCTAAAATTTTACTAATTCCCAAGTTCTTCCTCTCTAACTGGAGCGGCTTGGATCTTCTTACATGGCCTTGTAGTTTGGACCCTACTTCTCGCAACTGTTGTTGCAGCTTTTGCGCTATGTCTAACAACCCAATCGTGAACCGAAGGAGAAAGAGAGTAGCGAAGAGAAGGAGCAGAGGCTTTCTCTTATTTTTGTTTTTCTTTCGACTCGGTTAATAGGGCGGAAATGGAACGAGTGAAGTCCTTGAGCTTTCATCGGACGTTTGCGCCCATTAGATCGGGAGACGAGGCCTCGTCCCCTCAAGCACTCGTCATCTGAAGCAAGCCATTCCGCTCGCCCTTATCTCCCTCCGCCCCACCGACCTGCTCGCACTCGTCACCTGCTCGCCTGTGGCCTTTCCTTGGCGAAATGTTTTCGGTTAGGGTAATGGCGGACCGCAGGTTGATGTTCGCGTTCAACTTTCGGTAGAAATCGCGGCCCGCTGCAAGGGCACCGCCGCCCCAAAAAGTAAATTTCAGAGCCGCGGCACGGTGCTGAAGGCACGCCCAAACAGTAAATTTCAGCGCCGCGGCACTGCGCTGCAGGCTTGCCGCTGCGCCAAACGCAGTTACTAATCTGCAAAAGTATAGTGGTACTGCTATCCTAAGAAAACTGAAAAAAGAAATCAATGACTAATTTGTTTCGGCGAAAGGCTAGTAGATGTTTAAATTCTAACTTTTGTAGTGGGATTGGGAAAAGCTGTAAGAGCTACTCTTCCTGACTTGGAATTGTCACAAAGGTAAATCTATCAATTAGGAAATACCATTCAACTAGAAATTAAGCTATAGCCAGAATTAGAGAAACTTAGTTTTATGCTATCTAGGGAGGGTTGATCGAGATTTAGTTGAGGATGTGAGTGATAGGGATTAACACGGGAAGGCCTAACCAATTCTTAAAATGATTAGCATAGGAACAAATCTGATATAATGGGAGCATTTTAAGAAACACAATTTTTTTAAGGGGGGCATGGAACATGAACTCTTCTAACGTCTTAAATAATTTACAAATTTCCTCGAGAGCTCTCTAATAGAGTACATTGAGCTACATGTCCTCTATAATGAAATTGAAGGAGAAATGTGAAACCTCTATTCCCTTCCTATTGGAAAAAAACATAAGATGGTGCACTTTCTTTTTGTGAAGAAATAAAAGTCTTACAGTATAAGAAACCCATGTGGCCTCTTAATCCTTTTAAATCACCGTTGAATCACTCAAATTGATACATCCACATGGCCTACTTGAAATGTGCCTGCCATCCAAACTACTTAGAATCTGAATTGACACTTTTGTGCTCTCTGCAAGTCAAATCATTATGCCAACTCATTAATAATTAACTTTCTACACATTGATGAGTAATGATTCTGCATGATAACCATTTTTTAAAGAACTTGATGCTCTAGCTCGATTATATGTCTTTGTTGGCTTGTGTGTGCATGAGAGATGAAAATTATTTCCAGTCACATCGGATTGAGTAACTTCCATGTTTAAATTTGTTAGCTTAATTGATGAGCAGAAGGTAAAAATATGATGGAGAGTTTTAAATTGGTTTTGTACTTACAAGAAAAGGCTTTACCATAGATGCAAATATTTGTGCAAAATGGTCAATATGGACCCATGTTTCAGCTCTATCTGATCGCCGTTATTTTTAAATTTATTGTCTATGTTCTATTACACTTTTGTTATATATGCAGGTATACTTTTTCTGGCTGAAGTTCTCATACATCTTTTGGGCAAAGCCTTGGACAGTCTTACAATTAGTAGTCTGGCGGGATTTTTCTCATCAAGGCTGGTGAGTTGAGTTCTTTATCAATCATTCTTTTTCCTGTATATTCCTTTTGAAATATTGATTCATTCCATTTATGCATAGCCTACAGATTTTGGGATCACTTAGTGCCTTTACTTGTGGTATATGTTGATTTGTACGTAATATAATATTTGACGTAACTTTAGGCAGACTGGAGATCATTGCGTGGGGCTCTTACTGGTTGCTTGGCACTTCTAAAGAGGAAGAGTGATGTTAGTATGCTTGTTGACGGTGATGCTAGGACCCTTGCTCAATCAATGATGGATAATGTACAAGTGCAGTTGCTAGCAATGCATGATCGTAAGGTTAGATCTCTCAGGTTTTATGCTATGCATGAACTGGTGGAAACACTTATCTCCTAATGATGTTAGTGCTAATTTTAATTTTATCATTTATTTTTGAACATGCAGTTATGCTTTGAAGTTTTTCAGTTCTTGCTGGATACCTACTCCGACTCCGTAGTATCTTTGGTAGTGCTCATCTTTTATGGCCTAACTAATCTGTATCATTTGAATTTATCAGCTTCCTTAATTACTTGAAAAATTAATCTTGTTATGCTCATTGTTAATTTTTTCCAATGCAGGTAATTTAATGAATTTAAAATATCATTTTTACGAACAGCTCAAGCTGTTACAAGCTAAATTTTAGTTGTCATTTTATTAATATTGTTTGTCTCGAGGTCCTTTGCAGAATTCTAGAGTATGTGCCTTCCACTAGCCTTTCTGGTTTTTGGTTCTTCGCTGTATTCTGTTTTATTTTCTAGCCAGAGTTGATCACAATTTGATCCCAAGGCCTAAAATCTAAAAGTTAAAGAAAGCAGGGAGAGGTAGCTTGGCTGGACCAAAGCTTTTGCATTGAAAAGCCAAATTGATCCGTCAACACTGTTTGTTCTGTCATTTCTTTCATATTGAGGACATTCTTATACCTTTCAATAACTAATTAAGTTTGACTCTTAAGCTGGTTCCTTTATGTTCAGGATGTAATATTCACATGTTTATTGAATTACTATTTGATCCATTTGAAATTATGATACGCTTGATTTTGATTTGTTAAATTTTTCCATTGTGTTTACCTATTTATCAAACAGCTGAAATCCTGCAGGGTGATGATTTTGTTTATGGATTAATTCAAGCGGTTGATCAAGAAAAGGATCCAAGGTGTTTGGTACATACGTTTCGTTTAGCTCATAGTCTTGGCAAATTATTTCTATCACAAGTGGGTTCAGCACATGTTGCTCCGGATCTTTTTGAAGTTTTAAGCTGCTATTTTCCCATATATTTCACCCATGTAAGTTTATGAACGAAAACTTTCTTCTATTCTGAGTGTGTGAGAAAGTTCCTTGTCAAAGAATAGAGGCAAAAAATCTGCATTTTATTGTCATTCGTGTTTTAGGAAATAAAAGGGCCTAGAACAAAGCACTTACATTCTTGCATTCATTTTGGTATTTCTGTTACAGTTTCATTTGTATTGTGCTTTAATCATTTTTTCATCCATTTGGAGCTGTCATATTTATGTTTGACATGTCATGCTTGTATACCTGTAAAAATGAACTGACACATGTTGTATGCTTCAAAGGTTTTCAGATTTCTAACGTTGTCTAAAAAATGCTCTGGCTTATCAGATCTATTTGAATAAAGAAATGATATTCTCTCCAAAACAAAGTACATTAAATTGAATCTACCTATGCACTTTTGTGGTTAACCGATATAAGTACTCCTAAATGAATTGCATTCTCCCAAAGTCTAATATGTCTTTCTCATCAAGTGGTGATATTACTTCACTGATTTGTTGGGAAGTGTAGCAATAATCTTAGGAATGTTTCAGAGCAACAAAAAGAGTGCTGGATTGGTTCATTCAACATGGACTTTAAATAATTTGTTTAATAAGCATAGGAATTTAGAACTAATGTTGCTGAATGCTGAGGATCGTATGTGCATACTAACAAAGTTTGCTTTGTTAATTCTTAATTGATCCCATGTTGTTTCTCGGTATACCTACCTATATTTTTAGTATAATATGTTTGAAATCAAATCAGGATGTTCTGTAAGATAACTGTATGTTTATGTTTTGTTTATATAATTAGAGTGCGCTTGACGAATACTTTTTTTAACATCAATTTCCATGTATATTTAATCCATAATTTATAATCAATATCGTCAATTCCTTGATTTGTTATGCCTTTGTTTTCAAGTTCAATCATTTGAAGTGCTTGATTTCTGTTAGAATGTGGTTCGGCATATGCTAACTAAATCTGTGTTACAAATGAAAAGCCTTTGGAACTTAACTCCAAAAGAAGATCTTAGCAAACCAGTTTTCACCTTTCACCTAATCCATTATATTCATTAATTAAACTAACCATATAGGTAAAGAAGAAGTAAATCGGAATTAATTTATATGCAAAAAAACAAAAAGAAAATCTAACTTTAAAAGCAATTATTTTCATTTATTTATCTTAATGAAGAAATTTTATATTAGATAATTTAAAACTATGTACAATTGATGCATGTACATTATAGGTGGTTAATATGAGAAGCTGTTTGCAAAATAAGTAAAATTTGGAGTGAAAATGAGCTCAAAAATCATATTCTTTTGCTATTTATTTTTGAAGGAAGCTGAAGCATTTAGTAGGGTCGCGTAATTGCATTTATGTAACAAACTACTAGCTAGTTTTTGGTATTGCCAAGTATTTGTTTTTACCAAAAGCATTTTAACGCAACTTTGATAAATGCTTGATTGCAATTTTATGGTAAACTGGTTTGCCTGAGATTTTAAGTCCATGGCGGTTCAACATTTCAATTTAAGTTACTTATATTGATTTCATATGGCATCAAATTTCTTCTATGGATTTCACTTGTGCCATCAATTTCCTTTTGTTGATTAACATCTCTATCTCTATCTTTATATTTATGTTTTTCTCACTTATGTGTTGTTTCTTGCTTATTTTAGTTAATAGGGCAAAATCACTTCTTACAATTAGATTTCATTTTTCTTCCTATTTTCAGAAAATAGCAGATGATTTTGAAGTTAGAAGGGAAGACCTCTCTGATGCCCTACTGGTATGCATTCTAAATTTTCATTGGACTTCTAAATTTTATGGTTATAGAACTTTTATTGATCCAAATTGTGCAAAATATAAATATGAAGTAAAAAAATAGTATAATATGCATGCGAGCTGTGAGCAAAGAGTTCATTAATGTTGTTATATTTGTTGGTTAAGAAATCTTAGTGAAACTTGAGAATTGCAATTGTGCAAGAGTAGGTGGTTCATAATGTGAACCTATTTAAATCTATTTGTAAAAATTGATATTTGAGAACTTTAGAAGATTAAGAGTTCGTTTGGGGCGGCTTTTTGGCTGCGTTGAATTTTGAGAATGCTCCTGTTTGGTTTATGCGGCGTTGGTGCGTTTAATTAAGCACACCCTCGATTTTATGTAGCCGTCGCTAACCTGTGTTCCTCGGTTTCATTCTATGGAAATTATGTCGCTGCCCTGGCCATGTTAATTCGAGCGATCTTTCAGTTCACTGCATAGGGCTTTTTCTTCCTTTGCTTTCCTTTGTCCTCTTGTACCCTTGGCCAGAGCTTGATTGCTGGCTTTTTTTTTTCCTTTGCTTTCCTTTATTCTCCGGTACTTTCTATCCTTAAACATTGTTTGATGAGTTTGTTCTTTGTGATTTGTGGTCTTTGTCTTGATAGCTTTATACTTTATGGGTTGTGGTCCCTTCTGTCTTTGATAATTGAAGGATTTTTTATATGAACTTATGTGCACTGTTGTTTGATAAAGGGAAGAACCTTTTTCTTGAGATTTGCGGAGCAACTCATTTGTTTCGATTCGGTTTTTTTGTGGAAGTGTTTGGAAAAATTTGGACATAGAGCACACCGATCCATGATGTATTACTTTGAGGGCCTTCGGTATGAACCTATGATCAATGTTGTTTGATGAAGGCAAGAACCTAATTCGTTTTTTCTGTGAATTTGTTTAATTTTAGAAACCAAGAGATTGATTGATGGAGTTTTTCTTTGAGGGCCTTCGTCGTCCGATGCCTTTTATTCTTAAACTTTTTTTGATGGCTTATTCTTTGTGGTTTGTGGTCTTTGTCTTGGTAGGCTCATACCGAATAATCATGATTTTGAAAAATTTTTGAAACAGAGAACTCAATTGATGGATAAATTTTATTTTTGGGCTATTTTTTATGGCTTTTGGTCTCTGTCGCGGTGGGTTTGCTCTTTATGATTTGCGGTTTCTGTATTTGGTGATTCAAGGATTTTCGATATGAACTTGTGTATGCAATGTTGCTAATACATGTGCAAGTGCTCTTGAACTATGCAAGGCTTTTCCATGGAGTGGTTTCAACCATGTAGTCTATGTATTTGCTAATTCTTGTTAAGCTTGGTTGAGTCGATTATGAGAATTTTAAAATAAGGTTCTGTTGGTTCAATCAATACTTTGTAACACTACGCTATTTGGATGCTTCAATTGGTTCATTACTTTTTTGACTGAGCTTTTTTCCATAGATGTGTGTGGCAAATGGTATTTGAAAACATGTATTCAAGATGATATGCTAGTGGTGATTGTTATATATATGTTATGACACTTTTAAAAATTATTTTGTGGTTCTGTTGAGCTTCACCAGCTTGCCTTTCAAGGCGTAGGTTCGTTTAATTAAACGTACTGTCCTTTTTACGCCGCTATCGCTCACCCGTGTTCCATGGTTTCACTCTAATTAAACTTTCATGGATCCTTAGCCATGGTATATCTTGCGCAACCCTTAGTTGTATGTATGAAAATGATCTAAATTGAAATGATTAAAAAGTATGGGCCTAGTTCTAATTGAGTTTGGAAAAAAAAAATAACTCAAGGTATACTGTTATGCTAGAATTCAGATGTTTATTTTCTGTTATCTTGCTAGCTGTGGGTTTTCAGTTATTTTTTTCTGTTATCTTGCTAGCTGTGGGCTTTCAAATGTTTATTTTCTATTATCTTGCTAGTTATTGATTTCACTTGAACAGATTTTGCTATGTGTAAGTTTTTGCCATTCTAGATTATTTGAATTTTTATGGTCGGGCTTTATATTGAAGTTGGTTTTTGACACATTTGTGCCATGTGAATAAATGGTTAGTTGACCTTTGGATTGCTTTGTTGAATTCACTTGGTTATACATAACAAATTATGGGGCTTGGGCTTTATAATGAATTTGTCTATAACAATTTTGTGCCAAATAGAGAAAGGGTTGGGGAGTTGTGGATTGCTTCCTTGTTAATTTTTGTTTTCATGAGTTCAACTTTTTGTTTGTAAAAATTTATGTCGATTAGTTCTCTTCATGCTAGTGGTGGCGACAAGTAAGATAAAAGAAAACGGATCGTTTGTTATTTGGGAAAAGTATGTTGAGTAAATCTTTTGCAATATCTGGTTAAAGGAAGTAGAATTGGGTATATTTTAACAAAGAAAGATGATAAACATTATTAAAAAAATTAAAGAAAGTACTGGAAGAGAATATCATAGAATGTAATTGAAGAACAAATGCGATTAATAAAAAATGGATTGAAAATATGAAAAGAGTTAACGCAAGGATCAACATGCTTAGGCTGGGATCCTATATAAAGCGATGTGCTGATGCTTTAGAAGAATGGTGAGAGTGGTTGGAGGTTAAAATTATTAAACTTTCAAGAAATTTATATTTTTTTGAAGTCATTTAAATTATATCAATTATCAACTATCAATTAAATTGTATATCGTGCCAATTGCCAAGAAGTTCAAGTTTAGTGATTTTGATCTTGAGCATGAAAAAAAGTTTTACTTAATGTTTGGTTGAGTTGAGACCATCGGTGATCATGTATGGACACCAAGCGAGAGAGTGCACATTAAACATAGTTGAGCATGTAGATCTGAACAAATACCCGACTCAATTAAAGGTCTAATCCTAACGTTAACAAAGTTAGATCTATTATTCATTCCCAATGTCTTAGAACTGAGAAAAAAAAAATAAATATTGTGCAGTTTTTTTAAGAAGTCAAATCACTGTTGCATGCATTAATGAGCCTAGCACGCCACATGCAACTTCTATTCAATAAGTTATGAAAGTATTTGAAGAAAGTGCAGAGATTTATGAAGATATGTCACCATACTTCTATTCAGTGAAGTTGTTAGAAGATCCCACTGATAGAGTTTTTTATGCCAATGGCTACTTGGCTTAAGATAGCTAATTTACGTCACTTTTATGACAATTGGAACGTATGAGTGTTATGTTATTTTTGATGTTTTTTTTTTTATTTTGATTGATATGGGTGTAGGAGATGTTACTTTAATGTATCAATACTACCATCTTTCATTATTTTTTTGTATGTATTGTTATGTGTTACTAGTGTTATGGTTTTTTTTAATATAACAATTTCTAATTCATGATATTTAATTGTGTTTGCTTTCTTAGAATAACAACAATAAATAACATTGATTGAGAAAGACACAAAATAATTATTATAACTGCATTATGCTTAATGTATGAGTATTATAACTTATACATCGCTCACACTCTTTGCATGACATTCAGATACATTGACGACAAATGGTTTCATCAATACAGAATGTGATGGCTGTATGTGATTTCAATATATGTTTCATCTTTGTAATGACTGGATGAGAATACAACGCACATGATAGTCGTTTATTTAAATTTGCTATGAAAAATAATAAATGCAATTTTCCCAAGCTGCTTTCAGGTTTGCTTGAGTATAAATAATTTAAATAATTTTTTTTGTACAATACTTATGATTGTACTTCTAATAGAGAAATATTATATGTTATAAATAGGACATCTGAAATTATTTTTCGATACAAAATATCACATTTCTGATTTTGAAAGAGGTAATAACATTGTTTGGGAAAAAAATGAGTTGTTTAATAAGATACACTCATCTTTATGTGGTGTTATTGAAAGGACATTGGAGGTTTGAAAAAATAAGGTTATTTCATGAGATATGTTCACATATCCTTTCAACAAATAAGTGAAGATTGTGGCCGCTATAATGACTTTTCACAATTACTTTCATCAACATCTTTCATGCAGTGATATTGACTTCAGTATTGCCAATGAAAATTGATTTGCGCTGCTTCGATTTGCGCATTGCACTTTGAAGCAAAAATGAAGCCTTTCTCTTCTCATTGGGCTTTGATAACACTAATTTCTAGTGCCCTTAATCATTTGTCTTGTAGGTATTGTACTTTTGTGATAAAGTTGCTATTTTTTTTAGGATTAATTACACTCTTATCCTTGAGATATGGACTACACTTAATATATCATGCTTTTAAAAGCACTTGAATTAGGTTCTTCAAGATTCTTTCTGCCAATAGGTCCTTAATGTAGTTTCTCCGTTAATTTTCAATTTTAAATGCTTTCATATTACCTTCCATTTGAAGTTTATGAGCATTCTCCGGTGAGAAATAGCCTATTTACACGTAGCTCTCATTATCTTCGTTCCTTTTGCTCCATCCTTGGCTGCATCCTTTTTTTCCTTCGCATTCACATCCATTTCTCCATTTAGGGTCTGTTTGGGGCAGCTGCAACTTATTGAATAATCTGCTGATAAGCTGATTAAAAATAATCTGTTGATAAGCTAGGTGCGGTGGCTATTACAATTGGTGGCTATTACAAATTTTTATTTTTTGGAAAAGCCGGACCGCTGCTAGAAAACTGCAGGTGTGAAAACTCTGTTTTCAGCATTTTCAAAACGCATAAGCTGCCAAAACGCAGTTTACCCAAGCAGACCAACCTGGCCTTAACGGGCCCCCTTTATGAAAAGCAATACCTTATCTTTTTCAAAACGCCACCGCACCAAATAAGTTGCCCCAAACAGGCTCTTAGTCCCATTACCACTCTAATAGAACACTTTGTCTTTATCTAGCTTACAATCCTCTTCTACTTCCATCTCTGTTTTCATCCCCTCCTCTACTCTCATGATTGATTCCCAACATGCCACCCCTCGTCTTAAAGTCCCTCTCCCTCAACCTTAATGATAACTGCCTTCCGACCTTGACATATCCTCTCCTCCCTTAGTTGCCAATCCTAGTTTCATCCATAAGACATGTCACGCTCTCAAGGGCACCTTGATTCAGCTAGGGTTTATGGAGGCCTTCATCTGCATCTCTGAAGCCTTGCTGAAACTGTCAATGACCTTGAGGATGCTGACCAGCGTTATTCAGGACGCGATTAGGAAAACAGCCATTAAAGACTAACAAAGGCAAAGTATCCATAGATATTGGATTAATTTAGGAGTATTGAAGGTATTCCGGTAGAAATTAACTAAACGGTTACTCTAGAGATCTACAAATAGGATGAAAGTAACTTGATGGGCCTAGATGAAGTGTTTTAAGAACTTAAGCTTATGTGAATGGTCTATACCTCAGTTTTTTGGATGATTTTTGCCTTATGTTTTATGCCCCTTCGTTAGGAAATGCCACCAATCCAAGTTATGTTTGGTGTCACACGGAAACATCTGCTGATTTTCTTACGGTTACCCTTTCTGCAATGCAGGATGCCTTCTGTTCAACTCCATATTTTGAACCATTTGCCATTCCGTTGCTTCTTGATAAACTTTCTTCTTCTCTTCCATTAGCAAAGGTTTGCCGTTCATCTCTTTAATGTCTTCCACTCCTAATGCTTTCAACATTTAATGTCTTGAATTTCTTTCTGTTAACCTCCTTGATTGATTACCTGAGTTTCTTGCAGATTGAATCTTTGAAGTATCTGAACAAATGTTTGCCAATCTTTGGAGCTGAAAGGATGACGCAGCATGCCCTGAAAATTTGGTTTGCACTAAAAGAAGTTATCCTCAGTCCGCCTCAAGCTGAAATATTATCATCAACAAATTTCAATTTGGGTGGAGATACCAACTCCCATGAGCACAAGATTGCTAGTGAAGCTTTAATTTTTTTGAAAACAACTATTTTGCAATTTACTTGTTCTAATAATGATGATTTTTTGACTCTGATTATGGATGATAATGATGTTGAAAGAAGTTTTTGTTCTGTCACCATGGAGGGAAGCTATACTGATAATTCAGCTACAAATTACTTTCAGCTAAATGCTCTTGGTAGTATCTTATTTGTTATGGCAAATTCTTCCATTTTTTGCTGCAATAAAGTGTTTCAGGAATTTTTCCCACGTTTGATGGTTATTCTTGGAATAAATTCGAGAAAGTCTAAACATTCTGCTGATTCCATTGTTGAAAAAGTTTCCCAAAAGTTGAACTACGGGGCACTTTATTTGTGTGCTGAACTGCTTGCGTCAAGCAGAGATTTGATAGCCACAGTCTGGGAGTCATCCATGCAGATGGATTCATTGCAAGGTTGCTGGTGTCATTTGATTCAAGAGTTCTCTGGTCCCTTAACTTCTGTTTTTAAATCAGTTTTGATGATTCCCAAGGAAAACACTGCTGATGGTGGAAACTCTAACTCCATGCATGAATTAGTTCTGTGCAGTGGTAAAACTCCTCATATTTTCTGTTTCCTGATCTTATACTTAGTTGGAGTTTTACCGTGTATTTACTTTTATGCTCTTTGAACTTGTTCATTGCTCAACAATTCAGCTTTTGTTGAATTATGAGGTCGGTGTTGATGGCACTTAAGTTTCTCTAAACATGATGTGTCTTTTCCACCTCCATGGTTTAGCTTATGTACGAGGGGTGAGTTTGAAGCAATGGTTAAGTGCATCAACTATATTTTAGATGTCTCTGGTTCAAGTCTATCTGCATGTGTTCTCCTCACCCGGTCTTGTAATTCTGGGAACTCCATGTAATTTAGCTTTTTTGTGTGCATTTGGCCAATCTTGTTTCTGAGTCACACCTAGCAAGTTTTTCCTATCTGATTTAATTCTAATAAACAAATATTTAATTTACTTTCGTTTTGTTCCTTAATGTTTCATTCTATGAAGAATTTACTTTGGTTCCCAATTAAATTTGATCAGTGTGCAATGATCGACCATTGGAATATAGAAGCCAGTAGAATATGGTCCTGTCGAGCTCATTAAGGCCATTGTCTCCTCCCATTGTTTACCTGACTTGGGAGCATCCCCTGCTCTCAATGTGGGAGTCCTGCGAACGATGCTGCAACCCGCGAGCGAAGCTGCGACTTGCTGTCCCTCTTCCACTCAAACCACCATCCTTACACCATATATCATCCCTATACACCCTCTTCCACGAAAAAATATTATGTCTGGAGTCCAAACGCAAGCTACATTCGGACAACGACTGCGATTCACCAGAGGTTGTTTGTTTTCTTCGCTTCTTCCTGTGCATCGCAGTCATTGTCAGGATACAGCTTGCGTCCGGGCTCCAGACGTAATATTTTTTCCTCTTCCACTTACCCAAACCCCAAACCTCAAACCTCTACTCCACCGCCGAGATGAATGCCAAGCGCCAATTAGGAGTTTACCATAGAAGAGATACAACGAAAACTCTGCTGAGTGCTACAACGACTCAATAAATTTGAGGAAATTAGACCATTCAGAGAGATCACCCAAACTCTAGTCGATTATAGAGATGAAGTGTCTGCCAGAGTATACAAAGATAAAGTGCCTGTTAGAAAATACAAAGGGGAAGTGCCTGTTAGATATTTCAGAGATGAAGAGTCTCTACCTCGAGGAATTGACTTGAGATATCTGAGAATCCAAGATTTTTAGATAATGGTGGATTTGCCACATTTTTACTGCCACTTGGTTCTAGATGAGTTTATCGAGCGGTTTCAAATTGTGGAACTTTTATTTGAGTACTAGGATGTCCTGCTGGATGGATTGGTGAGAATAGCCACTAACAAGTTAAAGGAGTGCATTATTTTGATGGTAAAATTTGAACTCCTTTGTTAGCCGAAATATGAGATTTTTACTTGGTCCCAGATGAAATAAGAGATGCAGTACCAGTACGTACCAGTTCATTATGGACATGATGTGCAACCACTAGCTTCAAAAATGGAGAGAATATTATCGGATGATCACCGCATCATATCTATAGAGTTCAACGTCGTGATCTTACAGGAAGAGTACACTTAAGAGTAAATACATGCCGACCCCAACTGAGGAGCACTAGTTTAGAGTGGAGAATAGATAGAACCGATCCGCATTCCCAAATTCGTTTCAACTATGAAATGTTTTGAGTGTCATGGATTTGAGCATATCGAATCATATTGCACAACTTGGAGAATGTTGTCTCTTGCAGATTAGGGAGCGATTGGAGATATAAAAAGTGACCCAGGGAAGATGAAGATTTCAGAGATGATTCTCAACTTCCAATCGTCGAGATGCTAGCGAGTCCAGTTGAACCTAGGAGAGAGACTCCGACTGATTTGATAGTAGTTGCTTTAGAAGCCGGTGAGTCCGAGGTAATAGACATTCACGTAGAGCATAAGATTATGGTGTTTAAAATGACATTTTTGCAGGCTTTGAGAGGAGCATCAGTAGTACTGTCATTGATGGTTCAAAAGAGCCATGAGTTTGAGGAACTGATACTAAACACATGCTCAAATAAGAGGATGTTAGAATTTTTTGATACATAACCTACCTTACGAGCTAACCCTAATGAGTGAGGTCTCATACATTAGAGATGAGAAGATTTGAGCTACCGGGAGGCCATAGGGAGCTATTTGTGTATTAAATTCAGTTCAACTCTGTTCCTATCAATAGATGATCAGGCAGGATGGATGAACCACTATTTGGGTATTAAATTTAGTTCAACAGTGTTCTCATCAACATATGATCAGACAGGACGGTTGAATCATAACATTCGAAATCGCTTCAGGATTTTTGGGCAAAAGATCATCCTACAGTGGGATCTAGGTTCTTTCAGAGAAGAAGAAGCCTCTCCAGAGCAGTTGTTAGTTAGAGTTGCTCATCAGACCATAGAACTTGTCCCAGAATTGAATCCTCCTTATATACTTGTTTATCAGATACACTCGGATGAGTACGAGAAGCGGAACAAGTCAGTTAAAGATTTGATTGCTCAAGACTTAGTTCGTGAGGATACCCATTCACAAGCAACTATAGCTGATGTTTTGTCAAAAGTGGATGGATACTTGTTTTATAAAGATGTGCTTCGGGATGGACCTATTCGACAGATCGAAAGAATAAATGAGAGGGAAAGGTTGGGAGAGAAGTTAGGCAAATGAGAGGAAATCAGAGCTCTGGATGGACCTATTCGACGATCGAAAGAATAAAAGGCGAAGGAATCTTGGTTGGCTACAATTGCACAGTGATTAAGGAGAAAATTTAGGATTTAATTAAAATTTAATTAAATTAATTGAACTTATAACCTTAACAATTTATATCTCCCAATCCATTCATTGTTCATGCATGGTGTTTTATATCGAATTGCTCGATTTCAAGCATAAAATTTAATAAGTTTGTTTCGATTAAATTCCGGAAGGTTAAAAATTTTGGGTTACTTCTAGAATTTACCGAACTTGGCCGATTTTTCAAAATTTGGGTGTTACATTTGGCTCCATGGTCCATCTCCTCTCCACCAAACAAGAAAGTTGATACCACAATAGTGATAATAGTAATTCCTACAAGTCATATTGTTTACCTATCAAGGATGTGGTTTCTTTTTGAACTTTATAATTAGCTTTAGTGTATGAGTTGGCAATACCAGAGAAGATGAATAAATCAAAACAGACCACAAACATGCTAAATCCTCAATAAAAAAGTGGGAATTGATATTTTTTTGTGAAAAACTATACGAGATTAGAAACTCTTTAAATATAGCGAGTAATTTTGAATCTGCGTAAAGAATGATAATTTAATAAGTGTTTTGGATATGAGATCCTTCCATAAATTACTTACAAGGCATTCTACTTGCTCTCAGTAGTTATATTCTATTTGATCCATATTTGTATCTTAAAGAAGACCTAGTATCAGTTCATTTATGAATGGTTATGACAAGTTAACAGTTATGACTGCCGAAATGATTCTTTTTAACATGAATGCAGTTCTTTCTTCTGTTGCTAAGCTTGGTTTGTAGCTAATGGCTCGAGCGCTATGTTTTGATACATGCAATTGTTCACTCATGCAGTGAAGGGGTTGCAAGCCCTTGCAACATATGCAGGGAAATACACACCTGTAACCAAGAAATCATTTGAAGACATCTTAGAAGTTTTTATATTAATTATCATTGGCAGATCTGAAAATTCGTTCTTATGGAAATTATCATTGAAGTCACTAGTTCAGATTGGATCTTCCATTGCAAGGTTTAAAGATTCTCATATGCAAATTGTTTATGATGAAATTGTTGTTAGAAGGCTTGTTTTGCTTCTTCATGGAGATCCTATGTTACCTCTTGCGTTAACACTCGAGGCAATCTCCGAAATTGGTACTTGTGCACCGGATTTAATTTCACCAGTAATTCAAGGGCTTGAAGAAGCTATGCTTTCAAACTTTTTGAGGGCTTGTGTACGTTCATTTTAATAATTTTTTCATTAGATTAAGTTTTTTCTAATCTTACTACTCATAGTGTTGTGTCAATTGCTTGATAATGAGAATTTATCGGTCTTCTTCACAGGTTGATGGAAGTTCTAAATCTGCCAAGGATTTATCTCTTTTGCTTGATTGTTACTGCATTAAGGTTCTTCCATGGTATGCATGTTCCTATCTATTTGTTGGTTTATTATCATGGTTAGATGCCTTTTGGTACAATAAAGAAAAGATGCCCTTTGAAAACTTTGTTCTTTGTTTCACATCATTAGTTTATTTTTGTAGAAAGAAAAACATCTTGTCACATTGAATTAAGTACGGACTCTATACAACATTTTCAGAGCACTAAGTGCTCACAATGCCAAAATATTTCCTTTAATGCGCAAAATGTGAAGCTTTACCTAGAGCATCCATTAGTTGATCATATCTGCATATATTACCTACATGCAATAATCATTTAATTAGCCAATATTAAATCTTATTAGGTAATAATTTTCAGCAAATATAATGACAATCAATAATGAGTATACTGATGGATACGTTCAATTATGATAATTTAAAGAAAAAGATAATTAATATGTAGATTATGATGTGATGTGTCGTGATAATTAAAAAACAAGATTAATCCTAAGATTTGTTTAGCAAATAGAGACCAAGAGGTTGATGTAGTGTGAAGCGAGAGAGAATATTAAAATGAGGCATTAAGAGGCATTCTTGGGTAGAGAACATAGAACTAATGAGCAACGGTTCAATGATTAGAATAAACAATGAGGAGAAGCAGATATTTTTGCCTAATTTTTAGCAAATGCTAAACGGAATCATATAATCTAAACCAGAAATTCATTTGGAGTTGGAGCTAAGTGTGCAGTGCTACAATGTGATGTGGTGAAGTGGTAAAAAATTCATGCTTTGTTATCAGTTTGCACCTTATAGCCAAGAGATACAGACGACCAATGCATCACTTTGCTTTACTCTTAAAGTGTACTTTTAACCACACTAGTTGCATATTGATTGCTAGGTCACTTAATCCTGTCATATTTTAAAGGTGCAAGATTATAAAAAAACTTAAATCAGTATGCTAATCTTTTAGGGTAATGAGAATATGGCATTGGATTTTTATGATGAAAAAATTGCTAGATATGATGCTTCTAAAACGTTTTGCATATTATCCAATTGTTTTGTTTAGTTTCTATAAAGATAATTACGCTTAAAGAAAAGTTTAGTAGGCAGCATAATTTTTTTTTTGTCATATTTGGTTTTTATGTTTTTGATTTTAACATCAGTACGTAGGAAGCCATTAATTTATGGACGAGATACTTTATTTAGGTTAAACTTCACAAATTTTTAAAGTTTAATATAATGCAAGATAATTTGAGAGTAAAAATTTTTGACCTATCATAAAGAATTAAGTACCTATCATTGTGAGAATTATAGTTGAGAAATTATAAGGAGTAATAGCTTGACCCAATGGGTGTATAGATTAGAATGACAGGTGAGAAAACTTACATCAATATTAAGAAAATGATTTTTTTATTTCCTGCATGATTTTTAGAATTAGTTTGGTTTTATTTAGAAAATCTACTTTGCATGTGATTTTATGCTATGTGAAAAAGTATATGGTGAAAGGGAAGATCCTTCACTTAGTTTTTTTTGATTTATAAAAGTAACATGATTTATTACTCCTAGAATTAGCATGGTAGGAATTAAAGAGAAAATAGTTATGTCAAAAAGTTCATCTTCATTGTGCTTTTCCCAATTCTTTGTTGTCAACTTTTAAATATGCTCTCATTCTAGTTATGATCATCATCATTATCATTGCTATGCTCATGCTAAATATTTAATGAATGAAAAACAACTAGTGCTAGATACCTTGTCATGCAATAACTAAAAAAATTTCAATATTAGGAGAGCTATGGCATAGATTAACATTAAGTTCACATATAATTTTATTATTTTTTGAGGCTTATTAAATGATACTTAGAATACTTTATTGATATATGCTATTTGTAGATGATATAGTTCCAATATATCGGATCTGTTTATTTGTGAGTTGGAACAATTAAGCGAAGTTTGGAGAGTTGAGGATAGGTTTATCTGAACAAAGATGGAATATATTATGAAAAATTTTATTGTATTTGCATTGATCTTGATTTGCCATTAATGTCATAAGATAAATTAATACTTTAATTCGTTTAGCTGAAGTGCCTTGGATCTATTGTATAAAAGAATTAAAATACAGGTGATGGTTTTTTTGTTTTCTAGAGTTTCCAATCGGTGGTTAAATGTACAAATGCATCAAAATTTTTAGTTATTAAGAGAAATATTTTGAGTCTTAAGGCTAAATGTTGTAAATATGTAATCATGTGGGCTATAATTTATTGGTCGTAGTATTGAGTAACAAAGAATTCGTTGAAGGCTAGGGCCATTATAACATATTTGAGAATGTTGAGATATAAACATTATAAATTAAGAAACATTTGATAATGACTGATGATTTTTCTTGAGAAGGTGGGAGAAGTCTATTGAAATTAAGGCCATGGAAATAGGTTTATTTGATGTGGGAATTTGCAATGGAAGGAAAATAGGCCAATATGCCACAAAAATTAATAATATGAAAGGCAGAGGACGGAAAAGGGTTTCGAACACATAGCATCGGCAAAAATTGTGGAAAAAATGTTTGTAAACTAAAGTTAGAACCTTTTGTAATTGCCAATATGAATGAATGTAAATAGATTATATATAATGCTGAACGGAAATAGTGCATTGTCTTAAAGCCTATGATTTCTTGATATTTATTTAAAAATGAGATGTACAAAATTATATTCACAAGGTCTAATTTACAATAAGCATCGTTTTTTTAGACCACTATTTTTTCTTTAAGATGAAAATAAAAATATACGAAATTTACATAGCCGTGAAATACAAATCTTGCATGGATTTTCATGATCATCAAGAAATTGCATGTTCTTTTAAAATTTAAAATTTTCCATCAAGCCAGCTAATAAATTAATAAAAATAAAGAAGAGTGATAGAGTTAATGATAGAAGTCACCAAATAATAATATGATCTCACATTTGGTATATGGAGATAACTTTCCTTGGAAATTTTATAGTCTCCATTGGCAACATCGTAGAAATATTCTCATCTAACAGCGGAACAAAATGGAAATCAATGCAGAATGAAAGCGAAATATACACATTAACCTCTGTTTATAATCAACAAGTCCCTTCAAATTGTAATCTTAGAAGATGGGGTTGGGATGCCCCATCCTAAAGAATTGCTAAATTTCCCTCAGAAAAATCAACTAGAGAATGCCATAACAATGAAGCTGCATGCCATGACTTAAAAGTTTGTAAATCATGATTGGAAGTATAGGTGGAAGTTACGAAAAGAAGTAAGTTATTAGTTAGGAATAGAGTTGCAAATAATGCAAGAAATTAGATATTGAACAAGAGGGAATTCAAGAATCTAAGCCAAGCCAAATATTAGAGAGTTGAACCCATCCAAATAAGTAGAGAGCAAGCTTGCAGTTTAAAAATGTACAAAAGAATCTATCTTGAAATGTGTGACCTTATGAATAAAAATCATGCTGAGTGGCACATTAAAAGTGGTACATTGGGATGTACTTAGAATGCCATTTAGAAGAGCTTGTGATGTGGTGCATAACAAGTTTTGCAATGCAGACATGTAAAGTTGTACATCATGAAATGTGTTGTCACGACCCAACCCGATGCTTGAAGTTTTAAATAAGACGGGAATAGATGATTGGACGACGAGAATTAAATTTTTTCATAATTAATTTCTATAACTAACTATTTATAATTGAAAGTGCCACAAATTTATCTCATTACTATTTGTCCGCGTCTTGTATAAATATTCTCTTATATCGTTTATTTTTTAATCACTTAATTAACCTGAAAATTTAGTTTAAAATAACAATAAACTAAACAAGTAGTGAATACTCATACTCATAAACTAGAGTAATACAAGGGAAAAAAATTAGTATGCATGTCAGTTAAGCATTTAATAAATCAATATAAGTATTTGATGATATTCAAAAAATCCTACTATATCAATAAAATATCAATATCATTTTATATTTGTACAACCTTCACATGAACACAATCTAAAAATTGATACCAATTAAGATTCTTAAATTTTAATATCTTTTTCCATATACGTGTATGAGTATCTTAATGTTCTTTCACTAGTACCATAAATGAGTGATTCCATCATAGTCAGTCATGCACATACAAGTACACTATAAAAGTATTACTTTCTAATAATGAATATTTGATTTTTATTTGCATAGTAGTCAATATTATTGAATCAATGATAAATTATACAAATTTGAGCATACGCGGCATTCTTACAATATGGATAAAATTCATTAGAACCATAGATATGCAGTATTATTGCAATAACAATAAATATATTTGCTCGAGAAGAAACAAAATATTAGCATAGCAAAAGAATGCAAGTACATCGAAGATAGATGATCTGCTTGCTCTTAACATGTATTACTTTTATCAATTTATCATCTAAAAAATATAAAATATACATTTATCACTTTACTTAATTGTGTTTTAATTTAATTATGAATTATTGTTGTATCGCTCTATTTTAATTAGAATTTCAATTTTAAACTTCAAAATTTAATTATTGTAATCAAAATTATTATTAAATTCTTATAAAAGGAAAACCCTAAACTTTCTTTAGTGCTCGATTAAGAAACACTTAAGTTTATCATTTTAATAATAGACACACACACACACAGATATATATATATATATATATATACAAAGGTAAATTCATTGATGTAAACGGGAAGATGCAAATGTTTTAGTGTGTGGGTACAACTTACTCAAAAAGAGACTTCAAAATACTCGTATACTAAAAAAAAATCAAAATACTTCTATTCATGGTGAGTGGATTTATCACTTCCCCTCTCCTTGGTTCTAGGGAGAGTCCAACACCAAGCTGAGATGTGGGCTTTCGCCCGAAACTATAAAACAGTTGCCCTGAAAATTCTTGAGTTCTAGCATCCCTTTTTTCTTCTTCCTAGATTTGTAAACTTGCCATTGATCTACTAGTGTTTGTCCCACCTGTTTTATTTGTGAATCTTCGATTGAGAGCTCACCCTGAGGCAATGTCTACTCATC